CTGTCCCACTGCTGCCTTGGTACATTGGGGCCCTGCCCTGGCAGCATTGGAGAACCTTCAGAACAGTGGCCAGACAGGGATGCGCAGTGTGGCCGTGTGTCCCAGGAGGCCCCAGGCTGCTGACGTCAGCTCATCTCTACGGCAGAACTTCATTCACGCCAGTGCAAGGCGGCACCCACTTGCTGTAGCCCAGATGTCCACACGGAGCTGTGGACTGGGAGTGGCCAGTGAAACCAGGTGCCACCTGCCAGGCCGGTTACCTGCCCTGGAGCATTCCTTTCACACTGCTGTGCCAGGCCACCCTGTGTGCCCCCTCCTTCCTCAGGTGCTGTGTTTCGGGCAGTGATTTTCCTCTGGAGCTGTCGCTGTTGTCCTGGCTGCTCTTCCCCAAGTGGTCAGCTTCATAGAAGCTCATTGAAGAATGACCTTTGTTGAGTAAAAAAATGTGCAAAAGAGCCTTGTTGAGTAAATGGAGTCATTTTCTAGACAGCTGGTTTTACATGTTCATCAGACTGGAATTCCACGTGTCAGTGTGCTGGGGCAGTAGAGGCTGGTGGCAGCCCAGACGGACTTCCGCCCTCCAAGGGGCATGGGCAGAGGTCAGGTCTGGCTGGTGGAGCCCCCTCAGGGCTTCGTAGAACTTTCTATTGGTTTAGTTTTGTAGCTGCAGATGAACTTCAGGTTAGAAATGATTCTGGAAGTTCTTTGAGAAGAACGTCATGTTCTAGGGTGTGGCTGGAAAACTCCTCGCTGTTGCCGTGTTGAGAAATTAAAGTAGAGGAGGATGGCCAGGCTGGGAATGTGTCCGTCTTCCAGTTACCCATTTGCTCTCTGTACTCATTTGTTCATCACAGTCACCTGACAGACACTCAGTTGTGTGTACTGGGGGCCAGGGAAACGAAGACAACACAGACCTGGACCCACACCTGACCGGCTCACACCCCAGACTGGGCAGACGCCCTGAGCCCTTATGCCCCTTTCATGATAAATGCGTCCATAGAGGTGTATATAGAACCAAGAAGAGGGGAAGACTCACAGCGTGGGGTGTTTCTGGAAGCATCTAGGAGTTTTGACGTCCAGGTAGCCTCGCACTGGGCAGAGACAGGTGCCCTGGTGGAAGGCTGCCATGAGGGTGAGCCCGGGACACGGGGAAGCCTGCATGGTGGCGTGGGTGTTGTTGGTCACCTGGTGCCACTGCAGGAGGCACGGCGTTGCAGGGGAGGGCAGCGGTGAAGGCTGAGGAGGGAGTGGGGGTCTGGTGCCTTTCTTAGGCACTCTAACTTCATTCTGGGGGCCAGTGTTTCTTCATCTGTGGGCCATTTGTGGGGATCCTGAGACACCTCCTGGCACCCCCTTTGGTCTCTCCGTCCCCCGATGAGCAGCCGTGAGGTTAAATTCTGCCGGGGCTGCGGCCTCAGGGCCCCCTGGCCGCACTGCTTTGTTCCCTCCACTCGCCCTGCTGCCCTTTACTTACAAGACTGTGGGAACCATTTCTTGGTAGTGAAATTAGTTTTATTTTTAAAATAAATGTCTTTAATAAAGCACCAGTGGATTAGAAGGAAGCTGTTAAGTGAGCAACATGCTGGCGCCGCCTCTAGCGCCGCCTCTGGACCTGCACTGCAGCCCTCCCCTCCCTCGGCGTGGAGCTCCTGGAGTGGGTGCCTGAGCCACTGGGACCCGACCTTCCTGTCTCTGGGAGCCTGCATGGTGCCGTGTCCTTGTGTGACCTGCCCTCTGAGGCGTTCCCAGGGCAGAGGTGTTGCTGGCACGTCAGCATCTTCTCCAGAGTCTCTGACATCCCACCTGGAAGAGTCTGATTGAGAGAGTCGAGATGAGAATCTGTATTTTAACAGCTGCTGTGGTGATGAGGATGAAGAGGAGGGGGAGGAGGAAGATGAAGACACGATGATGTCCAGCCCTGTTCGGGAATCCCTGAGGTCACTGCCAAGCCCGCTGCGCCCTGGCGTCAGGCCCTCCTCACCCCCAAAGCAGGCCCATGCGTTCCCTGTCCCTCGGCTACTCTGGGCCTGGCTCCTCAAACGTTTCTAGCCCAACACCTTTCAGAAGTGCCCCACGGCGGGGAGGCAATCCCTGGCCTACGTGCTGGGGACTTTGGACGACGGAGCTCGAACAGGCCCAGTGCAGAGATGAAATTTCATTGAAATCGCGATTTCATCCTAACAACTCATGATGACAATTGACTTTATGGCATATTATGCATTGGTTTTGGTTTCAGTACACAAATAACATTTCAGTCGCTCAGAGTAAACCATCCTTGCTGCTTGCGTGTGACGCTCTTTGCTTGCAGCCGACTGTGGCGCTGATGCGTCAGGCTCCCTGAGTCATCAGGCACCTGCGTTCCCAGCCACTCATCCACCCAAAAGTTCCACCTCTGAAGCTCTCGTGGGGGCAGGGGAGACAGGTGGGCTTGCTAATGAAGACGTGTGGGCGTCTATGGCTAAGTGTGTGTGGTGTGCGCCAGACCTCTTCATAAAGCAAAAAGCAGACCAACCCCCCGCTGTAGCAACTGAGTGTCTGAGCAGATGCCATCTGGAGGAGCCGCCCTGCAGGCTGCTCTGCTGCCAGGGACCCCCACCCCCGCCTGCCTCCTGGTCCTGCCTGGCCTGCTTGTACCTGCTCTCTGCAGGCCTGGAGCCCTTGGTGCTCACGTTTGTTACTGCAGAGGCAGCGCACAGTGGTGGGTGTGTGCATGGGTGCCTCTGGGTCCAGGCAGCCTCCTGGAGGGCATTCCTTTGGGTCGTGGGCAAGGCAGTCCAGTCTCCCTGGTGACTTCCCCCCAGGCTGGTCCCTGGGGCTCAGAGGGGAGCCTTTGCTGTTCTGCTCCGCCAAGTTGTGCAGTTTCCACAGTTAATTATTCATGTCCTGTTGGAATGAAAGGGAAGCCCAATAGCTCACACAACAGTCCGTTCTCTTTTCTTTTCTTTTATGGGAGAAAAACACAGGGTCTCCCTGTCTCATCCAGGATGGAGTGCAGTGGCGTAATCTCGGCTCACTGCAGCCTCGAACTCCTAGACTCGAGCAATCCTCCTGCCTCAGCCTTCTGAGTAGCTGGGACTACATGTGCACGCCACCATGTTTTTCATGTTTTTGTAGAAACAGGGTCTCACTTTGTTGCCCAGGTGGAGCTCAAACTCCTGGCTTCAAGCAACCTTCCCACCTCAGCCTCCCAAAGAGCTGGGATTACAGCTATTGTGCCTGGCCACATTCTCTTATCTTTCCACAGGAAAATAATTTCCATAATGAAATCCAAATATGATGTCCTATATCCTCCTCATCCCCTAGATTCTAGGCCTATATAAAATAAATCCTACTTCCAAAAAACATTCATTAGCTATCTGAAAATAACTATAATCGCAAGTCTCTTTTAACCAAGCACAATAATTATTCACTGTCGTGTTTGGAATGGAGCGTGTGTTGCTGTGTCTATCCCACAGTGTGAACCACAGCCTCGTCCTGCAGGCGTCCCCGACACCCAGCCCTACCGGAGCCCTGCCCCAGCACGTTTGCTGCGGTCAGCTGAGGACAGCAGTGGTTTAGGGGAGGAGGGCGACAATGAGGACAGAGACAGCGAAGGGACCAGCTCCCATCACAGCAGGGTCCCATCATGGGACCAGAGCTGCCCATGCTTTTCCAGGGCCAGCCTAGTGGCGCCTGCTTGGAAACCAGCCCCTGTCCTTAGGCGAGGGCAGCTCCCGGTCCTGTGGCCCTGAAGTCCAGGCCGGCACTCGCATGTCCTGGCAGAGCTCCTGGTCCGTCAGGTGGAGGGCATTGCAGGATGGACCCTCCTGTTCCTCTTCCCCCTGCTTCTTGCTTGTTGCTGAAATATTGCAAGTTACCAGGGCCTTGAGTAAAACAAACGAGTAAACAGAACAGTAGCTTTTCTCTGGCATTTGTTTATATGCCATTTCTAGAACTTTCTTTGAGGGAATGGCGATCCCTGTGAAGTGTTTCCGGGTCACTTCTCAGGACAAGCCAGGGTCAGGTAAGCGTGGAGAGAAGGAAGGTATAACTTGGAAGTAGGGTAAGGAAGTGAGCTGCAGAAAGAAGGCTCTCAGCTGCCCTCGGGTGCACCCGCATTTTAAAAACCAAGGATCCACTATCCGGCTCAGTTGGGCAATAATTAGTAATAATTACTTGTTTTTATAAAGCAGCAGCCGTTCTTCTAGGCCCTTTAGAGTAGGACTTCATGGACAGACCATTGGAAAGAGGAGCATAGACACCATGGTTGCCGGGATTTTGCCTCCAGGAGTGACACCTCCGGGACTCAGCAGGGGGTGAGGCAGGGCGCACAGGGTCTGAGCTCAGGCTGCAAATCTGCCGCCCACTGCAGCTTCATGAGACGGGAGCTCCTGGGGCTGGCGCGGGCTGTGCTTCCGGGAGCAATGCTTGGTGAAGCCTGCCTCTTTCCAGAGGCCCAGCTGTCTCCAGGGGTGTCCCCATCCTGGGCTCGAGGGGTGCCCTCCACCTGGCCTGCAGGCCTCATGTCCCACTTGCTCACTCAACAGTCAGGTCCAGGCCTAGGTGGAGCATTTCGCTGGACAAGATTGGGCCCCTCTTGAGGAGCTGGCAAGCTCATCTCCTCTCTCTCTTTAAGCACCCCCGGGACACCAGCCTGGGTCTGTGGAGCTTGTGTGGGGCGGGGAAAGAGCGTCCATCTGTGGAGTCTCACGGTGTGGGTGTCGACCACGGCCCCTCCCCCCATCTTCCCGGGTATTAGGGCGTGACGCGCCCGGACGTGGCCATGATTATAATCATCACATCAGCAGCACCATCAGCTTTCGCTTTCCTGTAGGAAGAGAGAGCCGTAGTCTCCCGGTAATAGAATTAGTTCTTTGCTCCTTAGGGGCTGTTGCTTGGGATTCCCTGTTGGAGTGGGGTTCTGGGGCGGGCGCAGGGCCTTGGGGGCACCAGTGACCTGGCTGCCAGTGCCTCCAGAGGGCTCCCCTGACAGCCTTGGGGCCTGTGTTTGTTTTGTGCAGAGCAAGTGCACCGGCACCTGGACCAGCATGAGGTGAGATACCTGCAGTTTGCCTTCCGCTGGATGAACAACCTGCTGATGAGGGAGGTGCCCCTGCGCTGCACCATCCGCCTGTGGGACACCTACCAGGTGAGCTCTCCTTCCGCCCTCCGCCACGGCGGTGCCAGGAGCCAGGCCGCTTCCTGTCGCCTTCTGCCCTGGGCCTGTATGCTGCGTTCGATTGTGCCCTCAAAATGCTCTCTCCATTGAAATGTGGTCTTTAAAAAGTATACTCCTGGCCGGGCACGGTGGCTCATGCCTGTAATCTTGGCACTTTGGGAGGCCAAGGTGGGTGGATGCCTGAGCTCAGGAGTTCAAGACCAATCATGGGCAACATGGCGAAACCCCGTCTCTACTAAAAACACAAAAAATTAGCTGGGCGTGGTGGCACACGCCTGTATTCTTAGCTACTCAGGCTGAGGCATGAGAATTGCTTGAACCTGGGAGGCGGAGGTTGCAGGGAGCCGAGATTGCACCACTGCACTCCAGCCTGGATGGCAGAGTGAGACTCCATCTGAAAAAACAAATAAATAAGAATAAAAAGTATATTCCTGGCATGCTTTTTATCTGAGGAGATGTAAAACAGGGAAAAGAACTTCAGGCCATTCTCTTTGTGGCTGAGTTTCATTCTGCCTGCACGGTGACAGCAGCCTTGAACGCGCTGGGAAGTTACATTCTGAGCAGCGTGCTAGGAGGATGCCAGGCATGCCGGTGACTCTGCTGTGAGTTTGAGCTGCATCTGCCAAAAAACTCACGCTCGGGACTCACACCTTGTCTATATTTTGAGTTACATATAATAAAGAGTTTTTAAAAATCACAGATTCAGTGTGCTATGAAATTTTCTACTCTTCACCAGTTCTGATGAAATTCAGTTCTTCAGGAGATTGAGTTTTCTGGAACAAGCCACTTCTGTTCCCTTGAGTGTCCCATCACTTATTCTAGCACCTTTTCATTTTGTTTGAGATGTTTGCTGAAGCAGAGGCGGTGCTGTGGGGGGTTTCTGCGCCAACCTTTCATCATCGGTTACAAATAGCAGGCACCATTATGTGGGATTGGGAATCAAATCTCTACAGAGTGCGAAAGACAGACGCGTGTGGCTGGTTTTCATCCCGGCACCTCAAGAGCTAGGCTTTCTACTGCAGTGAGCACAGCCCTTCATGGGCTGTGTGTTCGGGCTTTGCAGGGGGCAGCCGCCCTTGGAGGTTGATGCTGGGCGTTTCTGGAAAGGGGAGCTCTAGACGGCAGGCTTTTTCTGAGGCTGCTTCGGTCCCAGGCACTGCTTCGGGTCCCAACTTTGGTGCCTTGCCCGTGGAGGTGGGGAGGGCTGGGGGTCCCAGAGCTGCTGGGAAGGGCCTGGGGGTCTTTCTGACCAGCTGCTCCCCACAGGGCCTCAGGCTAGATGCATTCTTCCCACAGAACGGGGTGCCTGCTGGGCCTCCGTGCTGTCCAGTCTCTTATTCTGAGCCTGTTTTCGTATGAGTCCTCTAGAACGATGCCCCAAAGCTTTGTTCCTGACACCGGTTGCTGGTCAGTGTGCCCCTTGGTGGGTGTGAGTGTTGTGACTCTGAAGTCCTGTATTTTGACTTTGCTTTTCCTTCATGCCGCTTGTCTGGTCTAATGATCTCACTACGGAAATTATCACCAGTCAGCAGCCTGTCATTCGTGTCTGCGACTTGGATTTTGCTCTTCGAAGTGTTTGGCAGCTACAGAATTTCTGGCCAGCAGCATTTGCTGGGACATAAAGCCTTACCTTGGGCTGTTTGGTTAAAGTAGCTGTCAGTCTAGTGCTATTGATCAGCTCTCTGTAATATTACAGGAAACAAAACTTAATATCCTGTAAATTGCAAATGCTCTCCATTTTTGTGATTGGTTAGGTTGTTTGAGACCCAGACCTCCCTCATTAAACACAGAGCTCCTTATAATACTGTCCCCATTATGAATAAATTAGTTATTAAGTCAGTCGCATTTTTGAGGAGCCAGAAAATGGATCGGCTTGCCCACGGTTCTGCACCACCTCCCTAAAACTCCTAATAGGTATTAAAACTTTAAGCACAATTGTGGCATCTTTATTGAGTTAATTTTCTTGAAATTAAATTTTGTCATGAATTGACTCATTTGTACCAGGGACTCATTCTTGAACTGACAGTACCCTGGTTATAAACCTCTTCATATCTTAAAAATTGGGGGTATTTCTATTTTACAGGGCCAAGTAACCATGAAATTGTATTGCATCTTTTGGCAATGAAAATACATAGTAATCATAGGAAAGCAATTGGGTGATTACTCTCCCCTAAACTGGGGTGTTTATTAGCTGAGCCATTACAGGTTTCAGTTACTCTTTAACCCCTTACAAGGCAGCTTAAAATCCTCTTGGGACATGTGTCAATTAAAGGTTGTTTATAAGCACCTATACTGTCCCAGGCCCTGAAATAGATAGTTTATAAAAACGAATGGGCCGGGCGCGGTGGCTCAAGCCTGTAATCCCAGCACTTTGGGAGGCCGAGGCGGGCGGATCACGAGGTCAGGAGATCGAGACCATCCTGGCTAACACGGTGAAACCCCGTCTCTACTAAAAATACAAAAAAATTAGCCGGGTGTGGTGGTGGGCGCCTGTAGTCCCAGCTACTCGAGAGGCTGGGGCAGGAGAATGGCATGAACCCAGGAGGCGGAGCTTGCATTGAGCTGAGATCACGCCACTGCACTCCAGCCTGGGCGACAGAGCGAGACTCCGTCTCAAAAAACAAAACAAAACAAACAAACAACAAAAAACGAATGAGGGGCATTGTCATGAGGGTGACAAAAGGCATGGAAGAAAGGCCGATGATGCAGAGAGAGCCCAGATGGAAGAGAATGGCCCTGCTCCCCCAGGGGTCGCGTGCTCCCTCATGGATGCGTGCAGTGGCCGTGGGGAAGCCACGGGTGGGCGAGGCAGTCCCAGCTCCTGGAAGAACCCCAGCCCGTGAGAGCCAGTTTTGGGGTCCTCTGTAAAACACGGATGCCACTTTCCCTTTTGCCCCCATTTTTGGACAGTAGAAAAGACGCACCCCACCCTCTAGAACCAGACCCCACTCAGCAGATCTCTGTTGCCTTCAGCAACTCAGCGGAGTAGGTTCCCCGGGCAGCCGTGGCCCTACCGGGGAATGTGGTTCTGGGAAGGTGGAGCCGTGAGTCATTTGTGCAGAGACGGCAGCCCCCACTCCCATCAGCAAGGAGAGTTGCAGGGCCTCAGCGTGTGGCTGTGTCTGCTCTTGTACTGCAGTAAAGAAACACCTGGCCGGGCCCGGTGGCTCACGCCGTAATCCCAGCACTTTGGGAGGCCGAGGCGTGTGGATCATGAGGTCAGGAGATCGAGACTATCCTGGCCAACACGATGAAACCCCGTCTCTACTAAAAAATAGAAAAAAAATTAGCCGGGCGTGGTGACGGGCGCTTGTAGTCCCAGCTACTGTGAGGCTGAGGCAGGAGAACGGCCTGAACCCGGGAGGCGGAGCTTGCAGTGAGCCGAGATGGCACCACTGCACTCTACCCTGGGCGACAGAGCGAGACTTCGTCTCAAAAAAAACCACAAAAAAACAAAAACAAAAAAACACCTGAGGCTGGGTCCTTTGTAAAGAAGAGGTTAAATTGGCACATGGTTCCAAAGGGGCTGTGGAGGAGGCACGGTGCTGGCATCTGCTCAGCTTCTGAGGAGGCCTCAGGAAACTTGCAATCATGGCAGAAGGTGAAGAGGAAGCAGGTGTGTCTTCCATGGCTGGAGCAGGAGGAAGGCGTGAGGGAGGTGCCACGGACTTTTAAACAACCCGATCTCAGGAGAGCTCACTCACTAGCATGGGAACGGCGCCGAGGAGGGTGGTGGTAAACCACTCGGGAGAGTCTGACCGCCTCATCACCACCTCCAGCATTGGGATTACAATTCAACATGAGATTTGTTGGGGACACAGATCCAAACGCTGTGTCAGCAGTGGTCATCCATGGCTGAGAGCAGTTGTGTGGGGGTGCGTGGAGCTGAATTCAGCCAGGATGAGGGGGGCATCAAGCAGGTGGGGTCAGAGGGCATTGGTAAGTCTGAGAAGTATGGCTTTAATGGGGAGAGGGAAGCTCAGATGGGGGGTGGGTGGAGCCTGGGGAGGGCGATCCCACAGTGGGCGATCTCTGCGTAGCAGGACAAGCCGCAGACACAACTCCTCACACTCCTCAGACAAAAGGAAGGGGTTTATTCGGCCGGGGGCATCGGCAAGACTCCTGTCTCAAGAGCTGAGCTCCCTGAGTGAGCAATTCCTGTCCTTTTAAGGGCTCACAGCTCTAAGGGGGTGTGTGTGAGAGGGTCGTGATTGAACAAGCAGGGGGTACGTGACTGGGGGCTGCATGTACCGGTAATTACATCAGAACAAAACAGGATAGGGATGTTCACAGCACATTTCTATACAATGTCTGTAATCTATAGATAACAGAACCAGTTAGGTCAGGGGTCGATCTTTAACTACCAGGCCCAGGGTGCGGCGCCGGGCTGTCTGCCTGTGGATTTCGTTTCTGCCTTTCAGCTTTTACTTCTTCTTTCTTTGGAGGCAGAAATTGGGCGTAAGACGATATGAGAGGTGGTCTCCTCCTTTACCCGGGTGCGTGAGGCTGCTGGGGAGGGGAGGGTGCAGGGCGGCGGCTGACTTGATGGGGGGCCTGAGTGCGGGGTGTGACTCAGCAGCAGAGGAGCAGCTGGGGTAGGCCGTGGAATGAAAAAGAACAGCAGGTTCTGACAGGACATGCAAAGCCAGGTTCTCTGCTCTAAATTCCAGTGACGACTTCCTCTTGGGGAACATTCAGGGCTCTGAGTACAGGCTCCCTGGCCTCTGTGGATCGGTGAGTGAGCAGCAGCGAAGCCGGCCTCCTGGGCCTGGGAATTTTTGTTTCCAGTTTGGTGAAGGCCCCCTCTCGGTTGAGATCCTGTTTGCCTTCAGGGCCCCGTGTACACCTGAAGCAGGTACTTATGCTGCTTTAGAATAGCTCCTCACACACATCTTGTGCAGGTGGGGAGGGGACTCCCTGGTAAATGGGCGAACGTCCCCACACTTTACGTTTCCTATCCCCTAGTGATT